TTTTTACTTTATTTTCTTCAAGATTAAATTTCACTTTTTTATTATAACATCCCCTGCAATATTTTCTTGTTTTCACTGCCGGTCCATCTCTTTTTGCAAAAGTGTGAGTGTTCATTTTTTGTCGTTTTGCTGATGTAGTTGCAAATTGTTGATTATCATTCTCTTCAGAATTTTCGGTAGGTTCGAGTAAACTTGTTATTATTTTCTGTCGAAATTCAGATATGGTTATATTCTTTCCAGTAATATTTCTATATAATATGTGTGCATTGACAACAGCTGTACCTAACAGTATTTCCACTGCAATTTTCCTGTACCATTTCATTGTCTTACGTAATGCTGTATTATAACTCGTCATTCGATGTGATATGTCGATAGAAAACTTTCCTGAAATATACTCCATAATGGCTGCAGGTGTTTCTATAGTATCAGTATATCGAGTAACTTCAACGGTTTCATCGCCATGTTTAGTCGATAGAAAAAGGGCATCTCGTTTATCTTGCCACTTTCCGACGCAAATGCCCCTATTATTTTCTTTTACAATAATTTCCCCTACCTTCAACTTTTTTGATGTTACACTCTTTGGATTACCTCTACGGTTAGCCCTAAGTGTTCCCACTAAATGTATATTATTGTCTAGAAGTTGATTTGCTAATTCTAAACTAGTGTACCAATTGTCTGTTATAATTGTCTTTCCTGTGTTCAAGAGTTTTTCTGAAAGTTCCATTACAATCTTTGTCGGCACTGACGGAGTAGGATTTTGTTCTTCCTACATAAAGTTTCATGTTCCATGTATAACCATTATCGCAGCAAAGTTTAAACATTTTTAGACCATATTTGTGGGTCTTTTTTGGGATATACTGCTTTATAAGTAAACATCCACGAAACGGAATGAGACTTTCGTCAATGCATACTACTTTGCCGGGTACATATATTTCTTGACGTTTTTTTATGAACTTTTTCAGCAGGGGTTCAATCTTATAAACTCTGTTACCATCAGGACATTGCTGATTGTCACTGAAATGCCAAAATGTTAAAAGTAATTGGAACCTATTTCTGGTCATAACCTCTGAAACGACATTTTCACCAATCTCATGTATCCAAGGAGTCCAAGGAACTGTCTCATTTCATTTTAATTTGTAGGAGTCCAGTTATGTAATCTTGAAGCCTGTGATATATCCTCCGCTGAAGTAAGTTCTTGGGTGGTGTAGAGGTTAGTTTGTTCCACCATCACTTCCACAATCTCGTAATCAATAAACAGCGAATAAAATTCGGAGAATTCAGCATGCACCAATACTGCTGCGTATTCTGGTTTGATACCAGACTGTCATTATAGGGAAAAACTAAATGATTCCGTTTGACTTCTGTCCACAAATCGGATCCCAAAGGAATCTGATGGACGTATTGGGAGTTTCTCTCGAA